TTTTTCGACATTTTGAAAAATTGAAAAATCCAAAAATCAGAAATCAAAATAATCGAGAAAATTTCGAAAAATTGTAAATTAAAGAAATTGAGACATTTGAAAATGAAAAAACTAAAAATTTTTAGACTCGAAACGCTGGAAAATGGAAAAATTAAAATACCGAATTAACGAATAATTGAAGAATCAAAAAAAGTGAAAAAACAAAAAATTGGAAAGTCGAAAATTTAAATCATTGAAAAATAAAGAATTCGACAAATCGAGGACGATAAAGAAAAATCGAAAACTAGAAAATCGAAAAATTGGAAAACCGAAAGGTCGAAAGATCAAAAGGTTGAATATAATGGAAAAGTTGAGAAATGGGAAAATGAAAAACCGAGACAACAAATAATTGAAGAAACAAGAAATCTGGATTTCTCGACTTTTTCAAAATACGAAGTCTAAAAATTGAAAAAATCAGAAGAAAAATGAAAATATTCGAAAACTGAAGAATTGAAAATTAGTATAATCGAAAAGCTGGTAAATGGAAAAATAAGAAACCGAGACAACAGATAACTGAAAAATCGGAAAAATGAAAAATCCTAAAATCGAAGATGAGAAAGACAAAAATCGAAAATTTGAAAAATCGGACAGTCGATCAATTAGAAAATCCAAAAATCGATAAATAAAAATCTAATAATCAAAAAAACGACGAACTGAAATGTCAAAAAATTGAAAATTCGAGAAACTCAAACATTTAAAACTTAAAAAATCGAAAATTTCTATAATCGAAAAGCTGGGAAATGGGAAAATTAAAAAACCAAGGCAACAAATAATTGAAGAATCAAAAAAAGTGAAAAAACAAAAAATTGAAAAGTTGAAAATTTGAATAATTGAAAAATAGAGAATTCGAAAAATCGAAAACTAGAAAGTCGAAAAATTCGAAAACCGAAAGATTGAAAGATCAAAAAGTTGAATATAATGGAAAAGTTGGGAAATGAGAAAATAAAAAACTTAGACAACAAATAATTGAAGAAACAAGAAATCTGGATTTTTGAATTTTTCGATGCCTTGATTTTTCGACTTTTTCAAAAGATGAAAAGTTTAAAAATTGAAAAAATCAGAAGAAAAATGAAAATATTCGAAAATTGAAGAATTGAAAATTTGTATAATCGAAAAGCTGGGAAATTTGAAAAATAAAAAACCGAGACAACAGATTACTGAAAAATCGAAAAAATGAAAAATCGTAAAATCGAGGACGCGAAAGACAAAAATCGAAAATTTGAAAAAACGGAAAGTCGATAAATTGGAAAATCCAAAAATCGAAAAAAAATCCAAAAATCAATAAACAAAAATCTAATAATCAAAAAATCGACGAACTGAAATGTCAAATAATTGAAAAATCGAGAAACTCAAACATTTAAAAATTGAAAAAATCGACGAACTGAAATGTCAAATAATTGAAAATTCGAGAAACTCAAACATTTAAAAATTGAAAAATCGAAAATTTGTATAATCGAAAAGTTGGGAAATGGGAAAATTAAAAAACCAAGGTTACGAACCGAGAAATTGAAATATAACAAAAATCAATTTCTGAGTTTTCGACATTTTGAAAAATTGAAAAATCTAAAAATCAGAAATCATAACAATCGAGAAAATTTCGAAAAATTGTAAATTAGAGAAATTGAGAGATTTGAAAATGAAAAAAATCAAACATTTGTAGACTCCAAAAACTGGGAAATTGAAAAATTAAGAAACCGATTCAACGAATAATTGAAGAATCAAAAAAAGTGGAAAATCAAAAAATTGAAAAGTTGAAAATTTGGATAATTGAAAAACAGAGAAATCGAAAAATCGAGGACGAGAAAGAAAAATCGAAAACTAGAAAGTCGAAAAATTGAAAAATCGATACACCAGAAATCTAATTTCGGAAAATCGAAAGACCAAAAGGTCGAATTTAACGGAAAAGTTGGGAGATGGCTAAATTAAAAAACCGAGACAAGGAATAATTGAAGTTTCGATAAATCTGGATTTTCGGATTTTTCGAGCTTTGGAAAAATCGTGGATCTAAATGAAAATGGAGGACGAGAAACACGAAAATCGAAAATTTGAAAAATCCAAAACTCGGAACGTCAAAAAATTGGAAAATAAAAAAATCGAGAAAAAGAAAAAATTGGTAAACCAAAAATTTAATAATCAAAGAATTGAGAAATCGAAAAGTTGGGAACTGAGAAAATTAAAAAACCAAGACAACGAATAATTGAAGAACCGGGAAATTGAAAAATCACAAATTTCAATTTCTCGATATTTCAATTTCCAAAATCTAAAAATTTTAAAAATGATAAATCGGAAAATCGAAAAACAGAAAAATTCAAAAATGGAAAAAGTCAGAAATCATAAAAAATTTAATTTCGAAAAATCTAAAATTTGTAGAATCGAAAAGCTGGAAAATAGAAAAATTAAATAACCGGCTCAACGAATGACTGAAGAATCAAACAGTGAAAGGACGAGTAGACAAAAATCGAATTTTGAAAAATTGAGAAACCGGGAAACAAAAGTTTCGAAAATCGAAAAATTGAAAATTCGAAAAACTGAAAAAAAAACAAACCCAAAAATCGATGAAACAAAAATCTAATAATCAAAAAACCGAAAAGCTGAAATTTCGAGGAATTGAAACATTCGAAAATTGAAAAATCGAAAATTTGTATAATCGAAAAGCTGGGAAATGGGAAAATTAAAAACTAAGACTACGAATAATAATTGAAGAACCTAAAAGTTTTAAAAATCACGAATTTTAATTTCTGGATTTTTCAATTTTTACGTTTTGCGGTTTTTTCAATTTCTGAATTTTTGGATTTTTCAATTTTTCAGTGTCTTCATTTTTCGACTTTTGGAAATCGAAAAATTTAAAGATTCATAATTCGAAAAATCGAAAAACCGAACAATCTAAAAATCCAAAAAAATCAGAATCAAAATAAGTGAGAAATTGAAATTTTGAAAAATTGAAAAGTAGAGAAATTGAAAGATTTTAAAACGGAAAAATCGAATATATGTAGAATCGAAAAGCTGGGAAATGGAAAAGTCGTAAAAACGAGGAGGAGAAAGACAACAGTCGAAAATTTGAAAAATCGCATGAAAACTGAAAATCAAAAAAAAAAGAAAGTTCCAAAAATCGATAAACCAAAAATCTAATAATCGAAAAGATTGAAAATTCAAGAAACTGATCTAAAAATTGAAAAATCAAAAATTTGTATAATCGAAAAGTTGGAAAACATTTTGAGAAATTGAAATTTTGAGAAATTTAAAGATCCAAATATTGAAAAATCGAAAGGCTGGGAAACAAAAAAATTTAAAATCCGAGACAACGAATAATCGAAGAATTAAGAAATGAAAAATTGAAAAATCGAAAATTTGGCAAATCGAGAAAATAGAAAGTTGAAAAATTCGAAAAGTTGAAAGATCAAAGGGTCGAATATAATAGAAAAGTTGGGAAATGGGAAAATTAAAAAATCGAGACAAGGAATAATTGAAGATTCAAGAAATCTGGATTTTCGGATTTATCAATGTCTTGATTTTTCAACTTTTTCAAAACTTGAACAGTGTCAAAATTGAAATACCGAAAAATCTAAAAATTGATTAGTGGAAAAATCGAAGTAAAAAAAAATTGAAAAACTTAGAAAAATGAACAAAATCAAAAATGAAAACCTTTGAAAATTGAAAAATCGAAAAATTGGTATAATCATAAAACTGAGAAATGGATAAATCAAAAAAAATCCAGCCAACGAATAATTAAAGAACCAAAAAAGTGAAAAAGCATAAAATCGGATACAAGAAAGATCTAAAAATTGAAAAATCGAAAATTTGTGTAACCGAAGAGTTGGGAAATGAGGAAATTAAATTTAATAATTTATGTTTCGCGGCTTTTCAATTTCTGGATGTATGGATTTTTCGACTCTTCGATTTTTCAATGTCTTATTTTTTTGACTTTTTGAAAAATTGAAAAATCGAAAAATCTGAAAACCAAAAAATCAAAAAAGTTATAAATAATTAAAAAATCGAAAAATTAGAAAATTCAAAATTCGAATAATTGAAAGATAAAGAAATCGAAGAGTGGAAAATCGAAAAATCAGAGAGGAGAAAGGCAAAGATTGAAAATTTGAAAAATCGAGAAATTGGAAAATCGAAAAATCGAAAAAAGGAAAATCCAAAAATCGATTAACCAAAAATTTAATAACCGAAAAGTCGAAGAATTAAGAAATCGATTAATCAAGACATTGAGTAACCGAAATCTCAAAAAACTAAAAATTTGAGCAATTGAAAGATCTCAAAATTGAAAAATCGAAAATCTGTGTAATCGTGAAATCGAGGACGAGAAAGAAAAAATCGAAAATTTGAAAAATCGAGAAACTAGAAAGTTGAAAATTTGGAAAATCGATAAACCAAAAATCTAATATTCGAAAAATCGAAAAGATGAAAGATCGAATAGTAAAAACCAGAAATTGAAAAACCGTGAAAGTTAAAATTTGAAAAATCGAGAAACTGAAAATCTACAAATTAAAACATCGAAAATTTGAATAGTCAAAAAATCGGGAAATAGTAAAATTGAAAAGTTTAAAACCGAGGAAACTGAAAAATCATAAAAAAACAACCTGACCTGAGCTAACCTGACCAGACTTGACCAGACCTGACCTGACCTGACCCCCATGACATGTCAAGCATTAGCGCATAACTCAGAGTACTAGGGAAGTACTCTATAAATCTTTCGACCAATTTTTAACCCAACCAAATTGACTTCTATCCATTTTGACACACCACCGGGTACTCGGTCTTGGATTTAGCACCATCAACAAAATTTCCCCCCTGAGTAAACCTCCGCGTTTTCGCGCAGTTGTGTGGACAAATAGCCAGTTTGTGGATCGGCAAGAGCACACCGGATCGTGGTACCGCCTCCCAGAATATGAAAGTCGCCTGCTGTGTTCATATGTTGTTGTATCGGTGTTCTTGTTTCCGGTTCCGGCGCGCAGAACTACATTTTCAGTGGATCCAGACACACACATTGATTCAATCGAGCAAGCGGAGCAAATGACTATAGAAGGCACATCCAAGTGGTCATGCAAGATTGCAATCACAGGTATTGCCAGCTGCATTCTATCGGGACGCAGAGCATACATACACGCTAAAGTACCGACCGCCTTCTTGACCCGTTCATTATTGCAGTACAAATCTTCACTTATAGCACTCTAACTCTGGAATGTTTGGACCAGACGGACTTCCAGACCTCGGTGGCGAACCGACATCGAACATTGAAAGAGATCAAGAACTGTGGGTTTGCCATCCCGAGGTCGCACTTTCTGTCTCTCTCTAACTTATCCTTGCTCCTTGCACTATACTGAATGGGTGACTGTACGGAGCTACTCTGATTCTGTCTAAAATTTATCACTGGAATGTACTATGACGACTTCGAGCATGCCCTTCGTTCGAAATTTTTCAAGGGGCCGGTGACTTGGCAACACCGAGTTAGGGAATTTTTGTCAAAAGGTAGCACCAAGGTGGTCTAACCTAGCACCATCAGTCAAAAGCTAGCACTATATAGGTATTAACTTAACAAAAAATGTGTCTAAAGTCCGTTCTGTTTTGACTAAGCAGAGCAATTTTGTCTTAGTTTTTTGACTTTCAAAAAACTCAAAAATTCGAGAAACCGAAAAATTTGAAAATTGGAAAATCGAAAATTTGTATAATCGGAAAATTGAAAAATGAAACAAATGTAAAAAACCGAAACAACGAATAGCTGAAGAATCAAAAAAGTGAAAAATAACAAATTTCGAATTCTCAGTTTTCAACCTTTTGGGGTTTTCCAATTTTCGATCTGCGTTTTAGAATTTTTTCTTTTATCAATGTCTTGATTTTTCAACTTGCAAAATATAAAAATTGATAATTCGAAAAAACCCAAAAATCTAAAAATCGAAAAAACCGGAAATCATAAAATCGAAAAATCGAGGGTTTTGATAATTGAAAAATTGAAAATTTGTTTAATGGCAACTGGGAAATGGAAAAATTAAAAAACCCAAAACAAGGAATAATTGAAGAATCGGAAAAGTAAAATCGGGAACGAGACAGACAAAAATCGAAGATTTGAAAAGTCGGGAAAGTGCAATATCAAAAATACATTTAAAAATTGAAAAATCGAAAATTTGTATAAACTAAAAGTTGGGAAATGGGAAAATTAAAAACTAAGACTACCAATAATTGAAGAACCTAAAAATTAAAAAAATCACAAATTTTAATTTCTGGATTTTTTAATTTTTAGGTTTTGCGGTTTTTTCAATATCTGAATTGTTGGATTTTTAAATTTTTCAGTCAAAAGCTAGCACTATATAGGTATTAACTTAACAAAAAATGTGTCTAAAGTCCGTTCTGTTTTGACTAAGCAGAGCAATTTTGTCTTAGTTTTTTTGACTTTCAAAAAACTCAAAAATTCGAGAAACCGAAAAATTTGAAAATTGGAAAATCGAAAATTTGTATAATCGGAAAATTGAAAAATGAAAAAAATGTAAAAAACCGAAACAACGAATAGCTGAAGAATCAAAAAAGTGAAAAATAACAAATTTTCGACTTTTTGAAAAATTGAAAACACTGAATAAATCGAAAAATTTAAAAATTGATAATTCGGAAAATCGAAAAACCGAACAATCTAAAAATCCAGAAAAATCAGAAATCAAAATAAGCGAGAGATTGAAATTTCGAAAAATTGAAAATTAGAGAAATTGAAAGATTTTAAAAATGAAAAATCGAAAAAAAAGAAAGTTAAAAAATCGAAAAACTATAATTTAATATAATCGAAAAATCGAAGCACTGAAATATCAAAAGATTGAAAATTCAAGAAATTGAACTAAAAATTGAAAAATAGGGAAATTAAAAAACCAAGACAACGAATAATTGAAAAACCGAGAAATTGAAAAATCACAAATTTTAATTTCTGGATTTTTCATTTCAGTCTTTGGGTTTTGCGGTTTTTTCAATTTCCAAATTTTTGAAATTTTCGATATCAAAATAAGCGAGAAATTGAAATTTCGAAAAATTGAAAATTAGAGAAATTGAAAGATCTTAAAACGGAAAAATCGAAAAAAAGAAAGTTAAAAAATCGAAAAACTATAATCTAATATAATCGAAAAATCGAAGCACTGAAATATCAAAAGATTGAAAATTCAAAAAACTGAACTAAAAATTGAAAAATCAAAAATTTGTATAATCGAAAAGTTGGAAAATGGGGAAATTAAAAAACCAAGACAACGAATAATTGAAAAACCGAGAAATTGAAAAATCACAAATTTTAATTCCTGGATTTTTCATTTCAGTCTTTGGGTTTTGCGGTTTTTTCAATTTCCAAATTTTTGGAATTTTCGATATCAAAATAAGCGAGAAATTGAAATTTCGAAAAATTGAAAATTAGAGAAATTGAAAGATTTTAAAACGGAAAAATCGAAAAAAAAGAAAGTTAAAAAGTCAATAAACCATTATCTAATAATCGAAAAATCGAAGAACTGAAATATCAAAAGATTGAAAATTCAAGAAACTGAACTAAAAATTGAAAAATCAAAAATTTGTATAATCGAAAAGTTGGAAAATGGGGAAATTAAAAACCAAGACAACGAATAATTGAAAACCCGAGAAATTGAAAAATCACAAATTTTAATTTCTGGATTTTTCATTTCAGTCTTTGGGTTTTGCGGTTTTTTCAATTTCCAAATTTTTGGAATTTTCGATATCAAAATAAGCGAGAAATTGAAATTTCGAAAAATTGAAAATTAGAGAAATTGAAAGATTTTAAAACGGAAAAATCGAAAAAAAAGAAAGTTAAAAAGTCAATAAACCATAATCTAATAATCGAAAAATCGAAGAACTGAAATATCAAAAGATTGAAAATTCAAGAAACTGAACTAAAAATTGAAAAATCAAAAATTTGTATAATCGAAAAGTTGGAAAATGGGAAAATTAAAAAACCAAGACAACGAATAATTGAAAAACCGAGAAATTGAAAAATCACAAATTTTAATTTCTGGATTTTTCATTTCAGTCTTTGGGTTTTGCGGTTTTTTCAATTTCCGAATTTTTGGAATTTTCGATTTTTCAGTGTTTTGATTTCTCGACATTTTAGAAAATTGAAAACATTGAAAAATCGATAAATTAAAAAATTGATAATCCGAAAAATTGGAAAACTGAAAAATCTGAAACTCTAAAAAATCAGAAATCATAAAATAATCCAGAACTGAAATTTCGAAAAATTAAAAATTAGAGAAATTGGAAGATTTGAGGAAGCTGAGCAATGGAAAAATTAAAAGATCGAAAAAACGAAAAATCTAAAAATTATGAATTTGAAGGATCGAAAAGTCGAAAAATTAAGAAATCGATAATCAAAAAGCTGAAATATCAAAAAATCAAAAATTGAAAATTTGTAAAATATAAATTTGAGAAATGGAAACATTAAAAAACAAAAAGAAATAATTACTGAACAATCGAAAAATGAAAAAATGAAAAATCGAAAATTTGAATAATCGAAAAAAATCGAATAATCGAGGACGAGAAAGACAAACATCGAAAATTAGAAAAATCGGAAATTCGAAAAATTGGAAAATCAAAAAACTGAAAAATGGAAATATCGCATAAAGAAAAATCCAATTCCATACACCAAAAATCTAATAATCGAAAAACCGAAAAATCCAGGAACTGAAATATCAATACATTCAAAATTCAAAAAATCTAAAAATCGAGGATGAAAAATACTAACATCGAAAACTAAAAAAATCGAGAAATCGGAATGTTCAAAAATTGGAAAACTGAAAATCTGAAAAATCGAACTTCAATAATCAAAAACTTGTAAAACCGTAAAGTTGAAATATAGAAAAGTCAAAAAATTAAGAAACCGATTAATCGAAAAATCCGGAAATTGGAATATCAAAAAAATGAAAATTAAAATTAAAAAAGTTGGGAAATGGAAAAATGAAAAAACCAGGATAATTGAAGAATCGAGAAACTGAAAAATCACAAATTTCTATTTCTCGACTTTTCAATTTTTAGGTTTTCCAGTTTTTCGATTTCTGGGTTTTTCATTCAATGTGAAAATATAAAAATTGATAAATCGAAAAATAGAAAAACCCAAAGATCTAAAAATCGAGAAAATCAGAAATCGTAAAATTCGAAAAACTGAAAAGATGGCAGATAGAATTTTCGAAAAACTAAAAAATCGATAAATCAAAAAAAATCGGGGAATTGAATCATCGAAAAAGTGAAAATTCCTGAAATTAGCAGTTTTGAAAAGAAAAACAATCGAAAATGTTTAGAATCGAAAAGCTGGGAAATGGAAAAATCAAAAAATCAAAAAATTAAAAAATCAAAAAATTAAAAAATCAAAAAAGCGAAAAATTGACGAACCGAAAATCCGAAAGATCGATAAATGGAAAAACAGAAAATTTGAAAGAAAAATTAAGAAATCCAAATCGAAAAATCGAATAACTGATATTTCAAAAAATTGAAAATTCGAAAATTTATATAATCAAAAAATCGAAAAACTGGAAAATCTAAAAATCAAATTTTCCGTTATCTTGATTTTTGACTTTTTGATAAATGAAAAATATAAAAATTAATAAATCGAAAAACCGAAAAACTGGAAAATCTAAAAATCAAAATAACGAAAAAATCAACCATAAAATCGAAAAGTCGAGAAATTGAAATATCAAAAAATAGAAAATTTGAAAAACTCAAAAGTTTGAAAACTAAAAAATCGAAACTTTGTATATAAAACCGAGACAACGAATAATTGAACAATCGAAAATTTAAATAACTGAAAGATGGAGAAACCGAAAGACCGAGAAAGGCAAAAATCGAAAACATGAAAAATCGATAAATCGGAACGTCGAAAAATTGGAAAACTGAAAAGTTGAAAGACCCAATAGTCGAAAAATTAAGAAATCTATAAAAATCGAACATTAAAAATTTCTAAAATCGAAAATTTAGAAAATGGAAAAATTATAAAACGCAGACAAGGAATAAATCGAAAAAGTAAAAATTTGAATAATTGAAAAATAGAGAAATCGACAAATGAAAAAGTGAAAAATTCAGGACGAAAAACAAAAATCGAAAAACCGAGAAATCATAAAATCGAAAAATTGAAAAATCGAGAAATTGAAAAATCAAAAATTTCCGAATTTTTGGATTTATCCACATTTCTTTGAAAAAATGAAAAAACGAAAAATCTAAAAATTGATAAATCGAAAAAACCAAAAACAGAAAAATCTAAAAATGAAAAAACCGAAAAAATCAGAAATCATAAAAACGGAATTTTGATAATTTGAATGCTTGAAAAATAGAGAAATCTAAAATTCGAGAACGAGAAAGACAAAAATCGAAAATTTGAAGGATCGAGAAATTGAAAAATCGAAAAACTGAAACATTGAAAAAAAATCCTAAAACCGATAAACCAAAATTTAATAATCGAAAAATGGATAAACCAGAAATCTAATAATCGAAAAATCGACAAAACGAATGGTTAAAAATCGAAAATTTGTATAATAGAATAGTTGCGAACGATATTTCGACTTTTGAAATATTAAAAAATCTAAAAATTGAAAAACCGAAAAATCGAAATCGAAAATTTGAAAAATTGAGAATTCGAGAAATCGTAAAGCCAAAAAAAAGAAAAACTCCAAAAATCGATAAACTAAAAACTTGAAAGATTTAAAAGTTGAAGAATTAAGAAATCGATTAATCAAAAAATCGAGAATGTGTTTGATGGAAAAGCTGGTAAATTAAAAGACAAAGACAACGAATAATTAAAAATATAAAAATTGAAAAATCTAAATATCGAAAAATCGAAAAGACAAATCAAAAGCGAATAGTTGAAAAACCGAAAAATCTAAAAATTAAAAATTCGAGAAACTGAAAATCTAGAATTGAAAAACTGAAAATCCAATAGTCGAAAAATTAAGAAATCGCAATCGAAAAATCAAAAACTTGAAAGATCGAAAAATCGAAAAATCGGAGATCTGAAAAAATACAAATTCGAAAATTTGTATAATCGAAAAGCTGAAAAATGAGAAAATTAGAAAACCAAAAATGAAGAATCGGGAAATTATGAAAAAAATTATTTCAATTTGTGAATTTTTCAATTATTAGGTTTTGCAATTTTTAGAATATTTGGATTTTTCGACTCTTCGATTTTCCAGTCATGGTTTTTCAACTTTTGGAAAAATTGATAAATCGAAAAATAGAAAAACAGGAAAATCTAAAGATTGAAACATCGAAAATGAAAACTGAAAATTCGAGAAACTGAAAATCTAAAAATTGTAAAATTAAATCTCCACATTTCTTTGAAAAATTGAAAAATCTAAAAATCAAAAAATCAGAAATCATAAAATCGAAAATTCGAAAAATCGAAATTTTGTATGATTGAAAAATAGAAAAATCGAAAATCCGAGGAGGAAAAAGACAAAACTCGAAAATTTGAAGGATCGAAAAATAGAAAAATCAAAAATTTGAAGGACCGAAAAATAGAAAAATCGAAAAATGTATAAACCAGAAATCTAATAATCGAAAAATCGACAAAACGATAAAAGTTAAAAAGTCGAAAAGTCAAAAAATTAAGAATCAATTAAGCGAAAAGTGGTCGAAGAATTTGAATATCAAAAAATTAAAAATTCGACAAATTGTAAGATCTAAAAATTGAAAAATCTAAAATGTGTTTAATAGAAAACCTGGAAAATGGGTAAATTAAAAAACAAAGACAACGAATAATTAAAAATATAAAAATTGTAAAATCTAAACATCTAATACATGATCGAAAAATCCAAAAACCGAAAAATCTAAAAATCAAAAAATCTAAAAAACAAATCAAAATCGAAAAGTGGAAAAACCGGAAAATCGAAAAATTAAAAATTCGAGAAACTGAAAATCTAGAATTGAAAAACCGAAAGTCCAATAGTCGAAAAATTAAAAAACCTATACAACGAACGATTGAAGAATCGAAAAAACTGAAAAATGACAATTTGAATAATTGAAAGATAGAGAAATCTAAAAATCGAAAACGAAAAAGACAAAAATCGAGAAATTGGAAAGTTCAAAAACTGGAAAATCGAAAAACTGAAAAATCGAAAAAAAAATCAAAAATCAATGAACCAGAAATCTAAAAATCGAAAAATTAAGAAATCAATTAATCAAATGAAATATCAAAAAAATAAAAAATTCGAGAACTTGAATGATCTAAAAATTGACAAATCACATCGTACTTTAGACACATTTCTTAATAAGTTTATACGATTTTAAATAATTTTAATAACATTTTTAGGAATTATTTTTTGACTGATGGTGCCAGCTGATGCTATGTTGGACCAACGGGTGCTATCTTTCTAGAAAAATTCACTAACTCGGTTTTGTCAATTTGCCGGCCCCATTTTTCCAACACTGACTCGATTTTTAATAAGTCACTGGGGGCTTGCGTACTTGGCTTGTTTGTGTGATTTCAACTTTTTCAACTTCAAGCGCTCCTTTCAGCAGCTTGTCCATAGAATGTAGCTACAGACCTGCCTGAGACCAATAGGTATAGCTAAACTGAACAGTTTAAAATGCACAACTAAACTATCCCGCTTACTTTGTTGATCTTAAACAATAAATCACGATACACTCACACACTGCCGTTCACCAGACGAATGGCCACACACCCACACGATATAAATTTTCTAAAGAAGGACCAGCCAATCACGACTTACTCGAAACGATCTTTGGGTAACTCTCTCATTTTTAAGCACGATTAGACTAGTTGGCACAACTTAGCTGTAACACGATAGATGATATGTTGTCAGCAATACCACAGAGACTTGCACTACGGAATTTTCTGTCATATTGCTGTTGCACAGACAATCTAGAGCACACTCGACACCAAACAAGTCACCACGAGCTTCCGCAGCTTTGTGTGGGGTGTACCTCAAGCATGACTATCTCACTTGGCATGTCTCTAAACTGTGTGCTTGTACTTAAACACTGATTTATTGTTTAAAAGAAACTTTAAACGCTTCTTAAAACTACCTTAAACAAGCTGAACCTGCAGTCGGTGCGACTACCCGTACTTACTAACCCGACCGTTGCAGTCAAATCCGCACAAGGACTTATCGCTAAAGATAAAAGCGGGACCTCCGACCCCTACGTCACGGTACAAGTGGGGAAAGTAAAGAAGCGCACGAGAACTATGCCCCAGGACCTGAACCCCGTCTGGGACGAGAAATTTTATTTGTACGTGAATCGGCCCACGCCAAATTTGGCACTAAACGAGTGTTTTCAGTGAGTGCCACAATTCCTCCGACAGGATCAAAGTCAGGGTTTGGGACGAAGATAACGACCTCAAGAGCAAGCTTCGCCAAAAACTGACGCGAGAATCCGACGACTTCTTAGGGCAGACGATCATCGAAGTAAGTACACGATTACCGCCCAAATCATACTCATTATTGGACCAACTTTCCTATAACTTGATCGCAACTTTGGTCATAAATTAAAATATTAATTGGATGTTTCGAAGTTATTCGAAGTTTTTCAATTAAAATTCATCGAGTTTATGCGCGTTAGTTTAGAAACAATTAACATTGCATTATCGGGAATAGAGTAGTGCCCGCGCTCCGCCCACGATGTAGTGGGGGTCAATTACCATACTTTCTATTTGTTGGAACAAAATCTTTTTTTTTTAATCTCTAGAAGAATTTCAGTTCTGGAAAAAAATCAAATTGTACAATTTTTCGACTTTTCGATGTCCCGTTTACACGATTTTTCAAGTTTCGATTTCTCAGTTTGGGGTTTTTAAATTTTTCAATTTTTCAGTTTCTCAATTTTCAATTTTTCGATACTTTATTTTTACGATTTTTCAATATTTCAATTTTTGGCGTTTCAAAATTTTCGACTTTTCGATTAACCGATCTTTTAATTTTTGATTTTTCGACTTTTTAATTTCTTGATTGTTCAACTTCTCCACTTTTCTACTTTTAGAATTTTCGATATTTTGATTTTCCCACTTCTCGATTTCTCATTCTTCGGTTTTCGGATTTTCAATTTTAATTCAATTTTGGAATTTTTCTGATTTTGGATTCCTCAGTTCTTTGATTTTTCTATATTTTGTTTTTGAAATTTTACATTATTCGATTTTTCAGTTTTACCAATGTTTCGATTTTTTTTCCGATTTTGGGCTATTTTGATTTCTCAACTTTTGGATTTGTTGATATTTTGATGCTTCGATTTAACTCGATGTTTCGATTTTTTTATTTCTCGGTTTTTCGATTTTCCGATTTTCCAATTTTTCTACATTCCAGTTTTGGGATTTTTCAATTTTCCGGTTTTTCAAGTTTCGATTTCTCAGTTTTTCAATATTTAACTTTAGGGACTTTTCAATTTTTCGATTAAATTTCCCGTTTTTACAAATTTTCGATTTCTCAATTGTTTTATTTTTCGATTTCTCAATTAATTATTATTTTTATTCAATTAAATTTTTGACTTTTCGATTAACTGATACTTCGAATTTTTGATTTTTTAATTACTCGATTATTCGACTTCTCGACCTTTTGACTTGTTCGATATTCTGATTTTCAGTTTCTTCAATTTTTTGATTTTTCAAATTTTAAATTTTCGATTTCTCGTTTATTTAATTGTTCAATTTTTCGATATTTCAAGTTTGGATTTTTCAATTCTTCAGTATTTCATTTTTGGGATTTTTCAGTTTTTCGATTCAGTTTCTACATTTTTCAAATTTTCTGGATTTATTTATTTTTCGATTTTTCAATTTTCCGATCCAATTTTTTGATTTTTCAATATTTCAAATTTTGTCGTCTCTGAATTTTCGACTCCTTAATTAATCAATTTTTTTGATTTTTCGATATTTTGATTTACCCATTTCCCGATTTCTCGCTTTTTCGTGTTTCCGTTTCTCGACTTCTGGATTTCTCGATTTTTCGATTTTCAGATTTACAAATATCAATTTTTCAATTTTTCTTTGTTTCAGTTCGTCGATTTCTCAATTTTTCGAGATTATTCGATTTTTCGATATCTCCATTTTTCAGTTTTTTGTTATTCCGACTTCTCGAATTTTCAGTTCCTCAATTTTCCAATTTTTCAAATTCTCTATTTTCAATTTTTCACTTGAACATCTCGGTTTTTCAAATTTTCGATTTGTTTTTTTTTATATTTCGATTTCTCTATTTTCCGAAATTTCAATTTTACGATTTTTCAGTTTTTCGATTTTTCAATATTTCAGTTTTTGGCGTTTTTAAGTTTTCTACTTTTCGATTTCTCGATTTTTTGATGTTTCGCTTTGTTCAACTTCTCGATTTCTCGATTTTTCCATCTTTCGATTTTCGGATTATCAATTTTTCAATTTTTTTTGAGTTCTTCGATTTTTCAATTTTTCGATATTATTTGATTTTTTAATTGTTCGAGGTTACTCGATTTTTCGATAACTTGATTTTTCAATTTTTCGAGTTTTCAATATTCTGATTTTTGAGTTTTGAAATTTTTAAAATTTTTCGATTTTTCAATTTTAGATTATTTCGATTTCTCGACTTTTCGATTTTTCGATGTTCCCATTTTTCTAATTCCAGTTTTTTCCAATTTTTTGACGTTTCGATTTCCTAATATTTCTACATTCCCGATTTCTCGTTTTTTTTTTTAATTTTTCAGTTTTTGATTTTCCAATTCTTCATTATTTTTAAGTTTTGCATTTCTCGATTTTAGAATTTTCGGTTTTTCGATTTTCAACTTGGATTTTTTAAAATTTGTCATTCACTGAATTTTCGATTTTTGTGATTTTTCAATTCTTCGATTTTTCAAAGTTTCGATTTTTCGAATTTGGATTATTTGGATTTTTCGACTTTTCGACTTCTCGATCTTTTGATGCTTTGATGTTTCAAATTTCGATCTCCTGGTTTTTCGATTTTTCGATTTTCTAGTTTTTGATGATTCGGTTTCACAATTTTTCTACATCCACTTTTGGGATTTTTCAGTTTTTCGATTTTTTCAAATTACAGATTTTTCGATTTCTCGATTTCCCGTTTTTTTTTAATTTTTTAGTTTTTCGATTTTTCCTTTGACTCTTTCGATTTTTCAATTGTTCGAGGTTATTCGATTTTTCGATAACTCGATTTTTCAATTTTTCAATTTTGGATTGTTTCGATTTCTCGACTTTTCGATTTCTCGATATTTTCTGTTTTTTTTTTGACGTTTCGATTTCCCAATTTTTTTACATTCCAGTTTTGGGATTCTTCAATTTCTATTGAACTTTTAGATTTTAGATTTTTCGAGTTCTCGATTTTTCGTTTTTTTTTAATTTTCAGTTTTTCGATTTTTCAATTTTTCATTTTTTTTAAGTATTCCATTCTTCAATTTTATCAACTTTTCGATTTCTCTATTTAACGAGATTTCGATGTTTCGATTTTTGGTTTGAATTTTTTTAATTTTGGCTTATTTCAATTTCTCGATCTTTTGATGTATCGATGTCGATCTTTTTTGAAATATCGACAAATTTCTCCAATTTGTCGATATTTCGGTTTTTCAATTTTTTAATGTTTCGATTTGCCAATTTTTCTACATTCCAGTGTTGGAATTCTTTAATTTTTCGATTATTTAGATTGTTCAATTTCTCTATTTCCCGTTCTTTTTTTAATTTTTCGATATTTCAATTTTAGATTTTTCAGTTTGTCGATTTCTCGACTCCTCAAATTTTGATTTTTGGATTTCTTGATCTTTTGATGTTTCGATTGCGTGATGTTTCAGTTTTTCAATATTTTAATCTTTCGATATCTCGGTTTTTCGATTTTTCGGCCTTTTAAAATTTTCAGTATTCGAATTTTCGATATTTGAATTTGTAATTTGGGTTTTTTGATTATAGAATTTTCAGTTCTTCGACTTTCGATTTTGATTTTTAGATTCCCTCGGATTTTTGTTTTTTTTTAATTTTTGATTCACGGAATTTTCGATTTTTCGTTATTCGAATTTTCTTTTCCCTTTCGATTTCTGGATTTTTGGATTTTCCCAGTTTTTGATTTTTCAAAGTTTCGATTTTTCGATTTTGGATTATTTCGATTCCTTTGATATTTCAATTTTCAAATTTTTGACGATTCGGTTTCACATTTTTTTACATTCCAGTTTTGGGATTCTTCAAGTTTTTGTTTTTTTAAATTATAGATTTTTCGATTTCCCGATTTCTCGTTTTTTAGAATTTTTCACTTTTTCGATTTTCAATTTTTCGTTTTTTTTTTAATTGTTACATTTTCAATTTTTTTATTTTTAATATTTGAAATTTTCGATCTTTAGACTTCTCGTTTTATCAGTGTTTAAAATTTCTCCGCTTTTCAACATTTCAAATTTGTGATTTTTTCCATTTCTGGATTTCTTGATCTTTTGATATTTCTGTTTCTCGGTTTATTGATTTTAGGATTTTCGGTTTTTCGACTTTCGACTTGGATTTTTAGATTTGCTCGGATTTTTGTTTTCTCTAATTTTTGATTCATCCAATTGTAGATTTTTCGTTATTCGAATTTTCAGTTGGTTTCCTTTTCGATCTCTGTATTTTTCGGTTTTTCATTTCTTCTATTTTTCAAAGTTTCGATTTTTCGATTTTGGATTATTTCGATTTCTCGATCTTTTGATGCTTTAGTGTTGCAATTTTTCGATTTTCCGATTTTTCGATTATCCAATGTTTGACGATTTAGTTGCACATTTTTTTCTTACATTCCAGTTTTGGGATTCTTCAATTTTTTTATTTTTTAAATTATAGATTTTTCGATTTCACTTATTTCCCGTTTTGTTAATTTTCAATTTTTCGATATTTTAATTTTAAATTTCTGTATTTCTTGATCTTTCGATGTTTCTGTTTCCCGGTTTTTCGATTTTTCGACCTTTCGGCTTTTTCAAATTTTTAGTATTCTAAATTTCGAATTTTCGGTGATTCCATTTACCGAATTTTCGATATTTCAATTTGTAATTTTGATTTTTCGATTTTAGAATTTTCGGGTTTTCGACTTTCGACTTGAATTTTTGGATTTTCTCGGATTTTTGTTTTTCTAATTTTTGATTCATCGAATTTTGGATTTTTCGTTATTCGAATTTTCAGTTGGTTTCCTTTTAGATCTGTGGATTTTTTAATTTTTCAGTTCTTCGATTTTTCAAAGTTTCGATTTTTCGGTTTTGGATTATTTCGATTTCTCAATCTTTTGATGCTTTGATGTTGCAATTTTTCGATTGTCCGGTTTATCGATTTTTCGATTTTCCAATTTTTGGCGATCTAGTTTCACATTTTTTTCTTACATTCCAGTATTGGGATTCTTCAAATTTTTAATTTTTTAAATTATAGATTTTTCGATTTCACGATTTCCCGTTTTTTTAATTTTCAGTTTTTCGATTTTTACGATTTCAGATTTTCGATCTTTAGACTTCGCGTTTTATCAGTGTTGTTTCTGGATTTTTCAATTTTTCGATAATTTAATTTTAAATTTCTGGATTTCTTGAACTTTTGACGTTTCTGTTTCCCGGTTTTTCGATTTTTCGACCTTTCGGCTTTTTCAAATTTTCAGTATTCTAAATTTCGAATTTTCGGTGTTTCCATTTTCCGAATTTTCGATATTTCAATTTGTAATTTCGATTTTTTGGTTTTAGAATTTTCCGTTTTTCGACTTTCGACTTGGATTTTTCGATTTTCTCGGATTTTTTGTTTTTTCTAATTTTTGATTCATCCAATTTTAGATTTTTCGTTATTTGAATTTTCAGTTGGTTTCCTTTTTGATCTCTGGATTTTTGAATTTTTCAATTCTTCGATTTTTCGATTTTGAATTATTTCGATTTCTCGATTTGTTTATGCAGTTTTTCGATTTCCCGGTTTTTCGATTTTTCGATTTTTCAATTTTTGACGATTTAGTTTCACATTTTTTTTTACATTCCAGTTTCGACTTTCGACTTGAGTTTTTAGATTTTCTCGGATTTTTGCGACTTATTTCGCGAAAAGTAGTCAGAAACATTTAATTGCATTATCGTGCGAGTAGAGTAATGCCCGCCCACTCTAGCACGCGCTCCGCCCACTCTGCAGTGGGGGTAAATCACACACTTTCTACTTGCAGGTCCGTACTCTATCGGGCGAAATGGACGTCTGGTACAACTTAGAGAAACGAACCGACAAATCAGCTGTTTCTGGTGCTATCCGCTTACACATATCTGTCGAAATCAAAGGTGAAGAAAAAGTGGCCCCATATCATGTCCAGTATACTTGCCTTCACGAAAATCTTTTCCATTATCTGTGTGAACAAAACTGCGGAGTAGTCAATTTGCCGCACGCCAAAGGGGACGACGCTTGGAAAGTCTATTTCGAAGAAGCCGGTGAAGAAATAGTAGACGAGTTTGCAATGAGATACGGTATAGAATCGATTTATCAAGCCATGACGTAAGTATAAGTCGCGTCCGTGTAAATCCCCTTCACTAATCGCCACTATCCAACAGGCATTTTCACTGCCTCTCGACGAAGTACCTTTGTCCTGGAGTCCCAGCCGTTATGAGTATGCTGCTTGCCAATATCAACGCCTACTACGCACACACGACGGCAACTTCGGCTGTATCCGCATGTGATCGCTTCGCGGCTTCCAATTTCGGGGTACGACCTCCTCTAACCCCAAAATTCCACTAATAATAATAACAATTTTCAGAAAGAGAAATTCGTAAAACTACTAGATCAGCTTCACAACTCCCTTCGAATAGACTTATCCATGTACAGGAACAACTTCCCAGCCTCGAGTCCAGACAAACTCATGGACTTGAAGTCAACCGTCGACCTTCTAACCAGCATCACCTTCTTCCGGATGAAAGTCCAAGAGTTGACGAGTCCTCCTCGTGCGAGTACCGTTGTGAAAGACTGCGTTAAGGCCTGCCTCAGATCCACATATCAATTCCTCTTTGAAAATACGTACGAGTTGTACAATCGAGAATTCCAAAGTGATCCGAACGAGCCCAAGAGGGATCCAGAAGATCACGGTCCAAGACTGGATAGCGTAGATTTTTGGCACAAACTCATCGCACTTATAGTTTCGGTGATAGAAGAGGATAAGAATAGCTACGGGCCAGTGCTGAACCAGTTTCCGCAAGAACTGAACATCGGACAGGTAATTAAGCTAAGTTTGGGACGAAATGGGCGGGGTCGGTGAGGCGCCTATAACGGGAGCGGTTGCTCGGGCGCCAGCTTCGTTTCGGGTTAGTCTAAAAGGGGAAACGAATCTCCAGAGGGATAATTAATACTCGGCTTCATATTAAAAAAAAGTAATATAATAATTTGAAAAATTATAAAAGTTGTTTGCGATTTTTGTTTAAAAACCAGTGGTGTAAATAACATCCACATCGTTTTTTTTTTTATTTGAATTTTTCGGGTTTTTAAGTTTCAATTTTTCAGTTTTTCAATTTTCATTTTTAAATATCTGGGTTTTTGGATTTCCCAATTTTGGAAGTTTCAATTTTTATATTTTGCCCTTTTTCGATTTGCAATTTTTCGTTTCTTCAATTTTTGATTTGCACTTTTTCTAGTTTTCATTTTAAATATGTAATAATTATACCAATTTTTCAGTTTTATGGTTTCCATTTTTCAATTATTGGATATTGGAATTTAAAACTTATTTATTTATTTTACTCTTCAATTTTTCTATTTTTAATACAATTTCAATTTTATGATTCTATCAAATTCTTTAAATTTTTTTCTTTGTTTTTCGATTTCGATCTTATAATTTTTTGTTTATTCTAATTCAATCTTTTCAATTTGGGATTTTTTCAATTTTTCGATTAACAATTTTTCAATTCTTCATTTGTTTTTGTTTCTTCAATTTTACCATATGCACTTTTCAAGTTTTCATTTTTAAATGTTTCGGTTTCTGCATTTCCCACTTTTTTCAACTTTCAATTTTTCGTTTCGGTTCTCTATTTTCTCTATTTTTTTTAATTTTTCGGTTTTTCAATGTTTTGATTTTATAATTTTCCTTTTTTTAATGTGGAATTTTTCAGTTTTTGGTTTTTCAATTTTTCGGTTTTCAATTTTCGCTTTTACAACATTAAAATTTTTTAATTTTTTGTTTCTTCAATTTTACATTTATCAGTTTCTTGATTTTTTAATGTTTCATTTCTTCAATTTTTAATTCGAATTTTTTTTTTTTTCATTTTAAATAGTAATAATTATACTACTTGTTAAATTTTTCAGATTTTTAGTTTTATGATTTCCATTTTTGATTTATTGGAATTTAAAACTTTTTCATTTATTCTACTTTTACATTTTTCAATTTTTGGTTTTAGGATTTTCCACTTTTCGATGTTTCAATTTTTATATTTTTCACTGTTTCGATTTGCAATTTTTCGTTTCGGTTTTCAATTTTTGATTTAGTTCCATTATTTTTAAATTTTTCGTTTCTTCAATTTTTGATTTTCAATTTTTCTAGTTTTCATTTTAAATATCTAATAATTATGCTACTTTTTAAAATTTTTCACGTGTTCAATTTTATGTGTTTCATTTTTCATTTATTGGAATTTAAAACTTTTCAATTTTTCTATTTTTAATATTTCAATTTTTTAGTCTTCAATTCATCATTTCTTTAAAGTTTCGATTTGCAATATTTCGTTTCGGCCTTTTATTTCATATATTTTTTGGTCCGGATTTTATAATTGTTTTGTTTTTTCAATTTCAATCTTTCCAATTTGGCACTTCTTCAACTTTTCGTTTAACAATTTCTGTATTTTTCATTTTTTTTTGTTTCTTCAGTTTTACGATATACACATTTCGAGTTTTTTTCATGCGAAGTTTTGTAATTTTTGGATTTTTCAAGTTTTAGATTTATTAATTTTTCTTCAATTTTAGATTTTTCAATTTCATAATTTTCTAATTTTTGGAAACTTTTCCACTTATTTGATTTTTCGATTTTCAATATTTCCATTCTTCGATTCTTCAAATTTGCGATTTGCAATTTTTCGATTTTCAATTTTTCGATTTTTTAGTTTTAGATTTTTCAGTTTCATGTTTTCGCAGTTTTTCGATTCTTAATTTTTGATATACAATTTTTCGAAACTTTTTCATTTATTCAATTTTTCCATTTTTAATATTTCCATTTTTCGATTCTTCAAATTTTCGATTTGCTATTTTGCGTTTCGGTTTTTTTATTTTCTCAATTTTTCTGTTTTCACGGTTTTGATATTATAATTTTTCTCTTTTTCAATGTAAAGTTTTACGATTTTTCGATTTGCAATTTTTCGGTTTTCAAATTTAAATTTTTTAATTTTTCGTTTTTTCAAATTTAAATTTTTCAGTTTCTGGATTTTTCGTTTCTTTAATTTTGCATTTTTTCTTTTCATTTTAGATATATAGTGCTAATTCGAATTTTGTAAAATTTACAAGTTTACGATTTTAGAATTTTTTCATTTTTCAGTGACTGAATTTTAAAACTTTTTCATTTATTAAAATCTCAAAAAATTGAAAAATCGAAAATTTAAAAATTCCAAAATTTGCAAAATTAAAATATACAAGAACCGAAAAGTCGAGAAATCGAAAACTCTAGAATTTTGAAAATTGAAAAGTTAAAATATCGAAAATTTGAAAAATTGAGAAACCAAAATATAAAACGGTCGAAAAATTTAAAAATTAAAACTGAAAAACCAAAAAATAAAAAATCGAAAAATCTAAAAATCCAGAAGGCGAAGAATCGAAAAGGAGAAGAATCGAAAAGGAGAAGAATCAAAATATTGAAAAATACCAAAACTGAAACAAACATCCAAAAGTTGAGAAATTAAGAAATTGGAACACTGAGAAATCGAAAAACCAAAAATTTTTTGGATAAATCGAAAAATTGAAGAACTGAAAAATCGAAACTTCGAAAACAATGGGAAAATTAAAAATAGATTAATTGAGAAAACTGAAAATTTAATGTCAAAATTTGAAAAGTCGAAAAATAAAAATACTGAAGAACTGAAAAATCAAAAAAATCTAAAATTTAAAACACTGAACAATTAAAATATCGCAAAACTGAGATATCAAAAAAAGTTTAAAAAACGAAAAATTGAAAATCCAAAAAGTCAAAAGTCGAGAAATAGAAAAATCCAGAACTTGAAAAATCGAAAAATCGATTTTAGAATTTTTTCATTTTTCAGTGACTGGATTTTAAAACTTTTTGGTTTATTAGTTCTCCAATTTTTCAAATTTTCTATAAGTATTTGATTTTTCAATGTTTCGACTTTTGGTGTTACAGTTTTTCGACTTCACAATTTTGACCATAATTTTTCGATTTTACGATATTTGGGTTTTCCAATTTTTCGATTCTATTCGTTTTTTCTTATTTTCAATTTTTCAGTTCATTAGTTTTTTCAATTTTCTCGATTTTTGATTTTTCAATGTTTCAATTTTTCGTTTCTTCGGTTCTTCGATTTGCAGTTTTTCCATTTTCCACTTTTTCGATTTGGAACTTTTCGTTTCGGTTTTTTATTTTCTTTCTTTTTTCAATCTTTCAGTTGGTCAATGTTTTGTTTCATAATTTTCTAATTTTTGGAAACTTTTTCATTTATTTGAATTTTCGATTTTCAATATTTCCATTTTTCAATTCTTCAAATTTTCGATTTTTTAGTTTTAGATTTTTCAGTTTCATGTTTTCGCATTTTTTCGATTCTTTAATTTTTGATATACAATTTTTCGAAACTTTTTCATTTGTTCGATTTTTCGATTTGCTATTTTTCGTTTCGGTTTTTTATTTTTTCAATTCTTCGCGTTTTCATTGTTCCGATTTTATAATTTTTCTCTTTTTCAATGTAAAATTTTACAATTTTTGGATTTTTCAAGTTTTCAATTCGCAATTTTCCGATTTTCAACTTTTCGATTTTTCAATTTAAGATTTTTTAATTTTTCATTTTTTCAATTTTAGATTTTTCAGTTCCTCGATTTTTCAATTTCTTGATTCTTATTGGAAAATTTTTCTAATTTTAATTTTAAATATGTAGTATTAACCATATATATTGTTGTAAGTTTTTCATCTTTTTGAAGTTTCCGATTTTAGAATTTTTTTCTTTTTCAATTAGTTGATTTTAAAAATTTTCATTTATTCGATTTTACAATTTTTCGATTTTTAACCTTTTAATTTTTCCATATTTGATTTTTCAATTTTGATTTAATAATTTTTGATTTTCTAATTTTTCAAATCAATTCTCTTTTCTTCTTTCCAATTTTTCGATTAATTAATTTTATGTCAGTTTTTGAATTTCTCGATTTTTGAATTTTCACCATTTCAATTTTTCGATTCTTCAAATTTTCGATTTTCATTTTTCGATTAGTATTTTTTATTTTTTTACTTTTTCTATTGTTCGGTTTTTCATTGTTCTGATTTTATAATTTTTCTTTTTTTCAATGTGAAATTTTACAATGTTTTGATTTTTCAAGTTTTCAATTCGCAATTTTTCGATTTTTCAATTTTAGATTTTTCAGTTCCTCGATTTTTGAATTTCTTGATTCTTTAATTTCTAATTTTGCAATTTTTCTAATTTTAATTTTAAATATGTAGCATTAATTATATATTTTTTAAATTTGCATCTTTTTGAAGTTTTCGATTTTAGAATTTTTTCATTTCTCAGTTAATGGATTTTAAAAATTTTCATTCATCCGATTTTTCAATTTATTCCTATTTAATTTTTCCATTTTCGATTTAATAATTTTTTAATTTTCTAATTTTTCGAATCGATTTAATTTTTTTCAGTTTTTAAATGTCTCGATTTTTGATTTTTCAATATTTCAACTTTTCGATTTTTCAAATTTTCTTTTCTTCAAATTTTCGATTTGCAATTTTTCGTTTCGGTTTTCTTATTTTTTCATGTTTTTCATTGTTCTGATTTTATAATTTATCTCTTTTTCAATGTGAAATTTTATAATTTTTGGAGATTTCAAGTTTTCAATTCGCAATTGTAGATTTTTCAGTTTCTCGATTTCTGCATTATTTGATTCTTTAAATTTTAAATATGTAGTGTTAATTATAATTTTTAAACTTTTTCATCTTTTTGAAGTTCACGATTTTAAAATGTTTTCATTTTTGAATTACTGGATTTTAAAAATTTTCACTTATCTCATTTTTCAATTTTTCGATTCTACTCGTTTTTCTTCTTCCCAACTTTTGGATTTATTAATTTTTTTGAGTTTTCAAATTTCTCGATTTTTGATTTTTTAAAATTTCCTTTATTCGATTGTTCAAATTTTCGATTCGGTTTTTTATTTTTTCAGTTTTTTGGGTTTTCATTGATCTGATTTTATAATTTTTCTCTTCCTCAACGTGAAATTTTACAACTTTTTGGATTTTTCAAGTTTTCGATTTGCAATTTTTCGATTTTTCAATTTTAGATTCTTTAATTTTTCGTTTTTTTTTTTCAATTTTAGATTTTTCAGTTCCTTGATTTTTCAATTTCTTGATTCCATAATCTTCAATTTTGCAATTTCTCTAGATTTTATTTTAAATATGTAATATCCATTATAATTTTTAAAATTTTTCAGCTTTTTGAAGTTTAAGATTTTTTAGAAATTTTTCATTTTTTAATTACTGCATTTTAAAAATTTTCATTTAATCGATTTTTAAATTTTTCAATTTTTAATTGTTCAATTTCTGCAGATTTAATTTTTCAATTTTCCTATTTAATAGTTTTTTAATTTTTTCATTATTCGATTCGATTTGTTTTTCCTTCTTTCCAATTTTTCGATTTAATTTTTTTTTCAGAGTATAAATTTCCCGATTTTTTATTTTTCCATGCTCCAATTTTCCGTTTCTTGGATTCTTCGTTTTTCAGCTTTTAGATTTTGCACTTTTTTTTAGTTTTTCTATTTTTTAATTTTTCGATTTTTAAAAAATAAAAAACGAAAAAATATAAAATTGAAACTTTGAAAATCTAATCTAAATCTAGGAATTGAAAAACAAAAATTCAAAATTTCAATAAACCGAAAGTAAGAAAATCCGAAGAAAAATTGAAATACTAAATGAAATGAAAAAACTAAACATTGTGATATCAGATGGACTCGATTACTATATTTTTACTGTTGCGATTTTATAATTCTTTTCTTTTTCGATGTGAAATTTCACAATTTTTGGATTTTTTAAGTTTCCGATTTGCAATTTTTAGATTTTCAATTTTTCGATTTTTGAATTTTAGACTTTTTAATTTTTCTTTTTTCAGATTCATATTTTCGCAGTTTTTCATTTCTTTAATTTTTAATTTACAGTTTTTCGAAACTTATTCATTTGTTCGATTTTTCGAGTTTTAATATTTCAATTTTTCGATTCTTCAATTTTCATTTCTTCAAATTTTCGATTTGCATTTTTCCTTTCGGTTTTTAATTTTTCATTTTTTCAATTTTAGATTTTTCAGTTCCTCGATTTCTGAATTTCTTGATTCTTTAATTTCCAATTTTGCAATTTTTCTATTACTAATTTTAAATTATAGTATTAATTATATATTTCTTAAATTTTAATTTTTTTCAAATTTTTGATTTTAGAATTTTTACATTTTTCAGTTAATGGATTTTAAAAATTTTCATTTATACGATTTTTAAATTTTTCAATTTTTAATTGTTCAATTTCTCCAGATTTAATTTTTCAATTTTCCTATTTCATAGTTTTTAATTTTTTCATTTTTCGATTCGATTTGTTTTTTCTTCTTTCCAATTTTGCGATTTAAAATTGTTTTTCAGAGTTTAAATTTCTCGATTTTTGATTTTTCAATGTTCCAATTTTCCGTTTCTTCGATTCTTCGATTTTCAATTTCTCGATTTTTCAATATTAGATTTTTTAATTTTTCATTTTTTCAATTTTAGATTTTTCAGTTCCTCGATTTTTGAATTTCTTGATTCTTATTTTCCAATTTCGCAATTTTTCTAAGTTTAATTTTAAATATTCAGTATTAATTAAATTTTTTAAGTTTTTCATCTTTTTGAAGTTTCCGATTTTAGAATTTTTTCATTTTTCGATTAGTGGATTTTAAAAATTTTCATTTATTGGATTTTACAATTTTTCGATTTTTAACCTTTTAATTTTTCCATATTTGATTTTTCAATTTTCGATTTAATAATTTTTGATTTTCTAATTTTTCAAATCGATTCGTTTCTTCTTTCCAATTTTTGATTCATTATTTTTTCAGTTTTTAAATTTCTTGATTTTTGAATTTTCACCATTTCAATTTTTCGATTCTTCAAATTTTTGATTTGCATTTTTTTTTTACTTTTTCCATTGTTCGGTTTTTATTGTTCTGATTTCATAATTTTCCTCTTTTTCAATGTGAAATTTTAGAATTTTTGGATTTTTCAAGTTTTCAATTCGCTTGTAGATTTTTCAGGTTCTCGATTTCTGAATTATTTGGATCTTTAATTTTCAATTTTACAGTTTTTCTAGTTTTAATTTTACATATGTAGTGTAAATTATATTTTTTTAACTTTTTCATCTTTTTGAAGTTCACGATTTTAGAATTACCGGATTTTAAAAATTTCCATTTATCCCATTTTTCAATTTTTCGATTCGACTCGTTTTTCTTCTTCCCAACTTTTGGATTTATTAATTTTTTTCAATTTTAGATTCTTTAATTTTTCGTCTTTTTTCAATTTGAGATTTTTCAGTTCCTAGATTTTTCACTTTTTTGATTCCATAATCTTCAATTTTGCAATTTCTCTAGATTTTATTTTAAATATGTAATATTAATTGTAATTTTTAACATTTTTCAGCTTTTTGAAGTTTAAGATTTTTTACAAATTTTTCATTTTTTGATTACTGGATTTTAAAAATTTTCGTTTATTCGATTTTTAAATTTTTCAATTTTTAATTGTTCAATTTCTCCAGATTTAATTTATCAATTTTCCTATTTAATAGTTTTTTAATTTTTTCATTTTTCGATTCGATTTGTTTTTTCTTTCCAATCTTTCGATTTAATAATTTTAAGTTTAAATTTCTCGATTTTTGATTTTTCAATGTTCCAATTATCCGTTTCTTCGATTCTTCGATTTTCAGCTTTTAGATTTTGCACATTTTTTTTTAGTTTTTCTATTTTTTAATTTTTCGATTTTGCAAAAATAAAAAACGAAAATGTATAAAATGGAAGCTTTGAAAATCTAATCTAAATCTAGGAATTGAAAAAACAAAAATTCAAAATTTCAATAAACCGAAAATAAGAAAATCCAAAGAAAAATTGAAATACTAAATGAAATGAAAAAACTAAACATTGTGATGTCAGATGGACTCGATTACTATACTTTTACTGTTCCGATTTTATAATTCTTTCCTTTTTCAATGTGAAATTTTACAATTTTTGGATTTTTTAAGTTTCCGATTTGCAATCTCTGGATTTTCAATTTTTCGATTTTTGAATTTTAGACTTTTTAATTTTTCGTTTTTTCAGTTTCATATTTTCGCAATGTTTCGTTTCTGTTATTTTTAATTTACAGTTTTTCGAAACTTATTCACTTGTTTTTCGAGTATCAATATTTCAATTTTTCGATTCTTCAATTTTCATTTCTTCAAATTTTCGATTTGCATTTTTCCTTTCGGTTTTTATTTTTGTATTTTTTCAATTCTTCGGGTTTTCATTGTTGTGATTTTATAATTTGTCTCTTTTTCAATGTAAAATTTTACAATTTTTGGATTTTTCAAGTTTTCAGTTCGCAATTTTTTAATTTTTCAATTTTAGATTTTTTAATTTTTCATTTTTTCAATTTTAGATTTTTCAGTTCCTCGATTTCTGAATTTCTTGATTCTTTAACTTCCAATTTTGCAATTTTTCTAATTTTAATTTTAAATATGTAGTATTAATTATATATTTTTTTAATTTTCATCTTTTTGAAGTTTTGGATTTTAGATTTTTTCATTTTTCAGTTAATGGATTTTAAAAATTTTCATTCATCCGATCTTTCAATTTCTCCCTATTTCATTTTTCCATTTTCAATTTAATAATTTTTTGATTTTCTAATTTTTCGAATCGATTTAATTTTTTTCAGTTTATAAATGTCTCGATTTTTGATTTTTCAATACTTCAAGTTTTCGATTTTTCAAATTTTCTTTTCTTCAAATTTTCGATTTGCAATTTTTCCTTTCGGTTTTTTTATTTTTTCATGGTTTTCATTGTTCTGATTTTATAATTTTTCTCTTTTTCAATGTGAAATTTTAGAATTCTTGGATTTTTCACGTTTTCAATTCGCAATTGTATATTTTTCAGTTTTTCGATTTCTGAATTATTTGATTCTTTAAATTTTAGATATGCAGTGTTAATTATAATTTTTAAACTTTTTCATCTTTTTGAAGTTCACGATTTTAGAATGTTTTCATTTTTGAATTACTGGATTTTAAAAATTTTCATTTATCCCATTTTTCAATTTTTCGATTCGACTCGTTTTTCTTCTTCCCAACTTTAGGATTTATTAATTTTTTTCAGTTTTTAAATCTCTCGATTTTTGATTTTTCAATATTTCCTTTATTCCATTGTTCAAATTTCCGATTTGCTATTTTTCGATTTTTCAATTTTAGATTCTTTAATTTTTCGTTTTTTTTTCAATATTAGGTTTTTCAATTCCCAGATTTTTCAATTTTTTTATTCCATAATCTTCAATTTTGCAATTTCTCCAGATTTAATTTTTCAATTTGTCTATTTAATAGTTTTTTAATTTTTTCATTTTTCGATTTGGAGTTTAAATTTCCCGATTTTTGATTTTTCAATGTTCCAATTTTCCGTTTCTTCGATTCTTCGATTTTCAGCTTTTAGATTTTGCACTTTTTTTAGTTTTAAAAAGTATAAAACGGAAACTTTGAAAATCTAACCTAAATCTAGGAATTGAAAAACCAAAAACTGAAAATTTCAATAAAGCAGAAATAATAAAATCGAAAGAAAAAACATTTGGCGACAGCGCCTCACTAGTCAGCGCTGCTTCAGCTCCTGCCGAGGCGGCGCCGCTAATACGGTGGCCCGGCGCGGCTGTCACGCTTAACCCCTACCCCTCCTACTACAAAATCTCCACCGTCACTCTGTTCCAGCTTTCGGCCGCCACCATGTGGAGCCTCTTCGCCGTAGACATGAAATACGCCCTCGAAGAGCACGAGCAACACCGCCTGTGCAAATCCTCCGCGTACATGAACCTTCACTTCAAAGTAAAATGGTTATACTCGAACTACGTTCGAGACGTGCCTCCGTACAAAGGTGCAGTGCCTGAATATCCCGCATGGTTCGAACCTTTCGTCATGCAGTGGTTGAACGAGAACGACGACGTTTCCTTAGAATACCTACACGGTGCCTTCAACAGAGACAAAAAGGATTGCGTAAGTGAACCCCCACCTCCCGCCACCATCTAACCCCTAAAAAAATTCCAGTTCCAAAAAAGCAGCGAGCACGCTCTGTTTTCTAATTCTGTAGTGGATGTGTTTACCCAATTGACCCAGTGCTTCGACGTCGTTTCGAAACTGGAGTGTCCCGACCCGGAGATCTGGAAACGGTATATGAAACGGTTTGCGAAGACCATCGTCAAGGTGCTGATTGCGTACGCGGATATTGTTAAAAGGGAGTTCCCGGAACACCTCAAGGAGGAACGAATAGTAAGTCCTGAGTTATTTTGCGTTCGTTGGGTGATGTTCAATTCCAGGCTTGTATTCTTATGAACAACATACAACAACTACGGGTACAATTAGAGAAGATGTTTGAGTCGATGGGTGGGGAGAAACTTGAAGAGGACGCAGCAAATATATTGAAGGACCTTCAGCAGACTTTGAATGGGTGTTTGGACGAACTGGCAACACAGTTCGCCTTGAGGTACTACCTTACACCATTTTGACTTTGGTTAAGCGTGTCGGTTTTAGTCTCGAACCTCGAATAACTTCAAGCGTGAAAGAACTGGGCGACTTGTTGTTGAACATCAAGGGTGGTGGTCAACCCGGTACTAGTCAACCGGCGCAACGAAACGTAGTGGCGGGTGAAGCCGACGAGGTACTTCGACCTCTGATGGACCTCCTCGACGGGTCTCTCTCCCTCTACGCTCAGTCCTGCGAGAAGACCGTCCTCAAGCGTTTGTTGAAAGAACTGTGGAAGATCGTGATGAGGATCCTCGAGAAGACCGTAGTACTACCTCCCATGACGGACAAGACGGTAGTACTACCGACAATATGGTGGCGCAAGGTAACTCGATTCTTTCAGATGATGTTCAAGAGTCTGACGGACAACGCTCGGAGCTTAGCCACCAAAACCAAAAAGATCGAAGATATGTCATCCATCTTCAAGAACCACATGACGGGCAAACAGGACATGAAGAACGCCCTCAGTGGCGTCATGGACATATCCAAAGAAGTCGAGAAGAACTTGTCACCTAAGCAATGCGCCGTCTTAGACGTGGCTCTAGACACCATCAAGCAGTATTTCCACGCCGGAGGCAATGGTCTCAAGAAAGCGTTCCTGGATAAAAGTTCAGAACTGCAAAGTTTGCGTTACGCCTTATCTCTATATACGCAAACTACCGACACTCTAATAAAGACTTTTGTCACGACGCAAATCAATGAAGGTGAGTGGGTGACGATAGGGTCGGGGGTTTGGTCACACACGACACTGTATTTATCTAATCTTCTTATCTAAGTGCCGCTTAACAATAAAGAAACAATGATGCAACGACAAATCTCGATTGAACGAGACGAAACTGAGACGGGACTAGAGGCCTTAGAAGAACCGTTGAAAGCTAAAAAGAGAAGAGAGAGTCGACAAGGTAGAGGGAATGCAAAAGTATTCAAGAAACGCAAAGATTGTTGCTAGTTCAGGCAATGCGCACATGCAATTTCATAGTGTTTTAACAGTCTTAGTGCAGCATAGAGGGAGCTGGTAGTTAGCGTTTATAGGAAAGTCGGCGGCGAGCTCAGGGGATATCATATTAATACAGACGATCAGCACAGTCACATTATTACAGTGCATGCGATTTTCGTTCCCTTCGTTTTCTATAATATACCTAATTTAAATTTTTAGACCCCGTCGAGTCAAGCCAAATTCTTGCATGCAGATTCGTTTTATTTTCAATTTCGTAGACAACGACTCCAATCGGTTTACTTCCAACCCTTAGGGACTGCATGCCCAGACTTATCTCAACCCGCATGCGTTACTACTACGACTTTCCGTTACGTTTTATTGAGTTTGTACATAATTTAGACCAAAACACACAACTCCACCGTGCGTTTTTCCAACTGTTACCTTTGGGACCCGTTGCAGATACCCTTGATGGACAGGAGGGCAGCGTGGGGGAGGTCTCCATTCAAGTCGACCTGTTCACTCACCCCGGTACCGGAGAGCACAAAGTAACAGTCAAAGGTAGCGTACTTTTCGCGAAATTGAGAAATTACGAACGTTTTTAACAACTTTGGGTAAACAGTGGTGGCTGCCAACGACTTGAAGTGGAACGTGGTGTCGGGGATGTTCCGGCCGTTCGTGGAAGTGAACCTGATCGGGCCTCACCTTTCCGACAAGAAGCGCAAGCACGCAACCAAATCAAAATCGAACAACTGGTCGCCAAAATATAACGAAACATTCCACTTGTGAGTATTGGGTCGTCGTATGAGAACTTATTAGATCTACAGACTCTAAGCGTTCTCACTTAATTAAAAACTAATTCTTTAATTATTGTGTTTAATTAAAATATCGAAAAATTAAAAAATCAGAAATTGAAAAGTTCCTAAAAGTGATAATTTTGAAAAAATTGAGAAATCGAAAACTTAAAAAATCAGGAAATCTAAAAATCGAAAAGTTGAAGAACTGAAAATTCGAAAAATTGTAAATTCTAAAATTTTAAAATTGAAAATCCAAAAAGTAAAAAGTCGAGATATCGAAAAATCCAGAATTTGAAATATCGAAAAGCCGAAATACTAAAAAATCACAAAATTGAACGAAATATCAAAAATTGGGTATTTAAAAATTGAAAAATTGAGAAATCGAAGTCAAAAAAGCAAAATCAAAAAATCGCAAACTTAAATATTCGAAAAACTGAAAAATTCAAGAACTGAGGAACTGAAAGATCGAAATTTTGGGAAGTCGGGAAATGGGAAAATAAAAAAAAACAGATTAATTGAGAAATCGGAAAACTGAAAATTTAGAAGTAAATATTTGAAAAATTTAAAAATACTAAAGAACTAAAAAATCGAAAAATCGAAAATTTAAAACACCGAAAAATTAAAATGTAAAATTGAAAAATGGAGAAATCTAAACATCAAAATATCAAAAAATCAAAAATTTAAAAATCGAAAAACTCATGAATCAAAACCAATCTAGAAATCTACACTCGAAAATTGAAAAACCAGAAATTGAGAGGTTCCCAAAATTGATAATGTTTGAAAAAATTGAGAAATCGAAAACTTAAAAAATCGAGAAATCTCAAAATCGAAAAGTCGAAAAATTTTAAAATCGAAAAACCAAGATGACTAAATTTAAAAAGGTTGAAAAATAGAAATATTGAAGAACTGTTTAAAAATCAAGAAATCGAAAAATCTAAAATTTAATATTGAAAAATACAAATATCGAAGAATTGTAAAATTGAGGAAGCCAAACTTGGAAAATCTAAAATTTGAAAATCGAGAAATTGAAAAATTTAAACATCGAAAGATTAGAAAATGGGAAAATTAAAAAAAATTTGGAAAATTGAAAATTAAAAATTCCGAAAATCGAAAAATTGAAATGTAAAAGAACTTAAAATTCGGGAAATCAAAAACCTATAATTTTAAAAATTGAAAAATTGAGAAATCGAAGTATACGAAAAGTTGAAAAATCCAAAATTTTAGAAACTAAAAAACTAAAAACTGAAAATCTCAAAACTCGAGAAATCGAAAAATCCAGAACTTGAAAAATCGAAAAGTCGAAATACTAAAAAATCCCAAAACTCAAATATCGAAAAATTGAAAAATAGAAGAAAAACTGAAAAATCACAAAAAATGTAACCAAATATCCAAAAATTGTAGAATTAAAAAATTGAAAAATTGAGAAATCGAAAAGTCAAAAAATTCAGAAACTAAAGAACTGAAAGATCGAAATTTTGGGAAGTCGGGAAATGGGAAAATAAAAAAATAGATTAATTGAGAAACCGGAAAACTGAAAATTCAGAAACGTCAAAATTTGGAAAATTAAAAAATATTAAAGAACTGAAAAATCGAAAAATCTAAAATTTAGAACAATGAAAAATTAAAATAACGTAAGAAACTGAAAAATGGAGAAATCTAAATATCAAAAAATCAAAAAACTAATCAACCAATCGAGAAATAGAAACTCGAAGTTAAAGAAATTGGAAAATTGAAAAAACCGAAAAACCGACAAACCGAAAAATCGAAACATAGACATCGAGAAATCGAAAATTGAGAAACTGAAACAGGACAAAATGGAAAAGTTAAAAATGGAAAAATTGATAAGTCGAGGGAAACAATCAAAATAAATCGAAATCTCAAAAAATTGAAAAATTGAAAATTTAAAAATACCAAAATTAGAAAAATTACAATATAGAAGAACCGAAAAGTCGAGAAATCGAAAACTCTAAAATTTTAAAAATTGAAAAATTAAAATATCTAAAAGTTGAAAAATTGAGAAATCGAAATATAAAACAGTCGAAAAATTTAAAAATAAAATTTAAAAAACGAAAAACTAAAAATGCAAAAAATAAAAAATCGAAAAATCAAAAAATCCAGAAGTCGAAGAACAGAAAAGGCGAAGAATCAAAATATTGGAAAATTCCAAAACTAAAACAAACATCCAAAAATTAAGAAATTGGAAAATTGAGGAATCGAAAAACCAGAAAAGCAAAGTCGATAAATCGAAATATTGAAGAACTAAAAAGTTGAAACTTCGAAAATAATCATAACATTAAAAACAGATTAATTGAAAAGACTGAAAATTTAACAACGTCAAAATTTTAAAAGTCGAAAAATAAAAACGCTGAAGAACTGAAAAATCAAAAAAATCTAAAATATATAACACTGAATAATTAAAACATCGCAAAAGTGAAATATCAAAAAGTTTAAAAAACGAAAATTTGAAAATCCAAAAAGTCAAAAGTCGAGAAATCGAAAAATCCAGAACATGAAAAATCGAAAAATCGAAATACTAAAAATCCCAAAACTCAAATATCGAAAAATTGAAAAATAGAAAAAAAAATAAAGAAACGAAACACTGAAAAATCACAAAATTGCACGAAACATCCAAAAATTGAGAAATCGAAAAGTCAAAAAGCAAAGTCGAAAAATCGCGAACTTAAAAATTCGAAAAACTGAAAAATCAAAAACCTGAAAAATTGAAGAACTGAAGAACTGAAAAATCGAAACTTTGGCAAGTCGAAAATGGGAAAATAAAAAATAGATTAATTGAGAAATCGGAAAACTGAATTTTTTTTTTTTGAACAATCGAAACTTTGAGAAGTGGAAAAATGGGAAAATTAAAAACAGATTAATTGAGAAATCGAAAAACTGAAAATTCGGAAACGTCAAATTTAGAAAAATTGAAAAATATTGAAGAACTGAAAAATTGAAAAATCTAAAATTGAAAACACTGAAAAATTAAAATATCGTAAAACTGAAAAATTGGGAAATCTAAACATCAAAAAGTTAAAAAAATAAAAATATGAAAATCTAAAAATTAAAAATCGAAGAAGTAAAAAATGAACCAATCGGGAAATCCAAACTCGAAAATTAAAAAAATTGGAAAATTGAAAAATGGGATAATTAAAAAATCAAAACATCGAAAAATCGAAAAATCAAAAGACCGAAAAATCGGAAAGTTGAGAAGTCAAAAAATCGAAAAATTGAGACAACGAAAAGGGCAAAATCGAAAAGTTAACCATGGAAAAATTGATAAGTCGAGAGAAAAAATCAAAATAAATCGGGATCTCAAAAAATTGAAAAATCGAAAAATCAAAAATTCCGAAATTTGAAAAATCTAAAAATTGAAATATCGAAAAGTTGAAAAATTGAGAAATCGAAATATAAAACAGTCGAACAATTTAAAGATTTAAATTTAAAAAAACGAAAAATTGAAAATCCAAAAAATAAAAAATCAAAAATCCAGACGTCGAAAAATCGAAAAAAAGCGAAGTCGAAAAATCAAAGAATTGAAGAACTGAAAAATCGAAACTTCGCGAAGTCGAGAAATGGGAAAGTTAAAAATAGATTATATGACAAAATTGAAAATTTAGCAACGTCCGAATTTGAAAAATCGAAAAATAAAAATACTGAAGAACTGAAAAATCAAAAAATGGAGAACTCGAAAAATCTAAAATTTAAAACTTTGAACAATTAAAATATCGCGAAATTGAAAAACAAAAAAAACAAAAAATAAAAATTCGAAAATCTAAAATTTAAAAAATCGAAAAATTGGAAAATCGAAAAATTGAAAAGCCCAAAAGTTAAATATCGAAAAACCGAGAAATCCAATAATCGAAACATCGAAAAATTCAAAAACTGAGACATCCAGAAAAAAAATCAGTAGATCCAGAAATCTGGGAATCGAAAGCTGAGAATCGAAAGCTGAGAAAAAAAGTTAAAAAATGAAAAATTGATAAATCGAGAAATAAAAAAATTGAAAAATCAAAAAAACTTTAAACAAGATAATTTGGAAAATTGAAAACTTAAAAATTCGGAAAATTGAAGAATTGAAACATCGAAAAGTTGAAAAGTAAAAAATCGAGAAACCGACAAACCGAAAAATCGAAACATTGAAAAATTCAGAAACTGAAACATCGAGAAATTGAAAAATCAAAAGATGGAGAAATCGAAAAATCGAAACATTGAGAAACCGAAATAAGCCAAAATCAAAAAATCGAAAAGTTAAAAATGCAAAAATTCATAAGTCGGGAGACTGAACAATCAAAATCTCAAAAAATTGAAAAATTGAAAATTTAAAAATTCCGAAATTTGATAAATTAAAATATAGAAGAACTGAAAACTCGAGAAATCGGTAACTCTAGAATATTAAAAATTGAAAAATGAAAATATCGAAAAGTTGAAAAATTGAGAAATCGAAATATAAAACAGTCGAAAACTTTGAAAATTTAAATTTAAGAAAACGAAAAACACAAATCCAAAAAATAAAAAATCGAAAAATCCAGAAATCGAAAAATCGAAAAAGCGAAGAATCGAAATATTGAAAAATCTCTAAACTGAAACAAATATCCAAAAATTGAAAAATTAAGAAATTAGAAAACTGAGAAATTGAAAAACCAAAAAAGTCTAAAAATCCAAGAAGAACTGAAAAATCAAAACTTCGAGAAGTCGAGAAATGGGAATATTAAAAATAGATTAATTGAGAAAACAAAATTTAGCAACGTCAGAATTTGAAAAATCGAAAAATGGAGAACTCGAAAAATCTAAAATTTAAAACACTGAACAATCAAAATATCGCAAAATTGAAAAATCTAGAAATCCATACATCAAAAAATCAAAAAATTAAAATTCAAAAATCTAAAATTCAAAAACTCGAAAAACTGTAAAATAGAAAAATTGTAAAATCGAAAAATTGAAAATCCCAAAAGTTAAAAATCGAAAAACTGAGAAATCTAATAATCGAAACATCGAAAAATTCAAAAACTGAGACAACCAGAAAAAAAAATCAGTAGGTCGAGAAATCTAGGAATCGAAAGCTGAAAAGAAAAATATTGATAAATCGAGAAATCAAAAAACTGAAAAATCAAAAACTTTAAAAAAGATATTTTGGAAAATTGAAAACCTAAAAATTCGGAAAATTGCAGAATTGAAACATCGAAAAGTTGAAAAATTGAGAAATCGAAGCATAAAACAGTCGAAAAATTGAAAAATGTAAAGTTTAACAAAAAACTGAAAATCCAAAAAGTAAAAAATAGAGAAATCAAAAAATACAGGAGTCCAAACATCGGAAAGTCGAAAAATCCCATTCTTACAGAATATCCAAAAATTGAGAAAGTAAAAAATTGGAAAATTGAGAAATCAAAAAATTAAAAAAACCAATTCGAAAAATCGTAACCTTAAAAAAAAAATTGAAAAATCGAAATATTCAAAAATCGTAAAATTAAAGAAGATAAAAATTGAGAAATCGTATCATTGAAACATCGGAAAATTGGGAAATTAAAAAATAAAAAATTGGGAAATCGAAAATTTGAAGAAAATTCAAGAACTTTGTTCACTTATTCGTTGTAAAGTCCGAAACGGGTTAGTTCTTCGTAGTAGAAAGTCGGCTTGTAGATAAATCGCTTAAAGTCGATATTGGCCTGAAAGCGCTCTGGTCCGTAGATCCAACAAGTTCTCAGGCGACGAGTTGTAGAATTTGGTGTTGAATTGTATGTTTGTAGCACAATCGGTAACGAGGAGCAGTTGGACTACTTCGAGTTGCACATTTGCGTCAAAGACTACTGCTTCGCTCGAGAAGATCGGCTGGTCGGGGTTGCTATAATGCAGCTGAAGGACATCGTGGAGAAGGTAAATCGCGCTTTTCGCGAGTTTGGGTTAGTTTCATGGGTCGATTTTAGGGATCGTGTGCGTGCTGGTTGTCGCTGGGCAAGCGGATCCAGATGGACGAGACGGGCTGGACGATTCTGCGTATTTTATCTCAACGCACAAACGACGAAGTAGCGAAAGAGTTCGTCAAGCTAAAGTCGGACATCCGTCAGGAGAACCCCCTTCCGAACCAGTGAGACGGCAGTGTTTCTCTGTAGCATGTTCTTAGCGCTACAAACTTACAGCTGTGTTCATAATTCATTTCAAGCAGTGTATAAATTAATTGTTGAATGGACCGTCCTTACAGACTGTTGACGTAAAATTACATGCAGTTTGATATCATTATATAACATTTAAATAATATTTATGTGCCTCCTCACCCGAACATAAACAATAAGATTATTATATGCCATTCACTGAAGAAAAGGAAACTTCATGATTGTCTAATCACACAAATATTCAAATGTAAAAAGTACGCAATAAAAAAGCATAACATATTTACATTCCTCTCATGTATTTGTACTTAAAATGTGATTCAAGTAGTATAAGAGATTAAGTAATAAATATCATAGATATTTTTTTATGCATGGAGGACTTTGGATCGCAATCATAATATGTGCAACATAATTTTCAACATCTCTCTCTATTCGCACAAAGAATTTTGTGTTGTCTAGTTAGTACAGGTGGCTCACAAGTGTAACCTCCGAAAAGGGAATGTTTTTTTACAATATAGTCGTGCGATATTTCTGGGTCACCTGTATGCAGCAAAGTTCGATGTCTAAAGAGAATATTTAACAAATTGAGCCTTACATATTTGATTCGTGCGTTCTCTTTAAACTTTTCGCTTCTAAATAAATGTGGACATTCTGCATCGCATTCTTCACTGTGATATTCAAGTAAACAGTGTGTATTTGTGTCGTCTGTGTTGTACTACATGTGCCGAATCGCAACTTAATGTCTAGCAGCGTTCTTTTTTCAAAAAACCAACGTTTTCACAGCTCTCGTCATAGCAAGTCGACAATACTTTGATTTTTTGAAGCAAAATTTTAATGTTTTTGGATAAGCGCGTGTTACTTTAGATGTAAGTGGTAGTACAGTTTGGAGTATGTCGAGAACTGATTAGATAAATTACTGAAATTCTACTCATCTGTATCAATCATGATCTTCCATACTATTCGAAGTGAACAAAATTGATCACGAATCTGTTTTATGCGCATCAAAAATTTATTATTATTATAAAGTTCCTTAATGTAACATAATTCAGGCATAAAACAGATGGTGGTATCTCTATCATATCCATTTGCGGTGCTCTCAGTCCATAATCTCATGTTAGACTGAACTTTCATACAATAACTTTCTTGATGTTGCTACAAATATGTTCGATATAAATATCTCACTAGATTTTCTCCACCCATCACCTAGACGACGTTTCTTTCGATGGTTGAGTGTATTTTTTCTGGTTCTTTTCGAATTCGCTGGTGACGTTTAAATCGTACAAATCGTTATGATAAACTTATCTGTACATGAATAGTTACATTATAAAGGTTTTCTAGATTATATTCTATTCGTAATTTATATGTATATGTAATTAGACTACATGAATACATGTCTTTTTTAATTTTATATATATTTTCTTTTCACAAAAATGACCAAGCATGTAATGATATACTAATGTAATCACAAATTAACGTAATTTATGTATAAATGCATAATGTTAATACGTAATTGTAAAGAAAAAATATAAATTTAAATTGTCCTGTTAACTTGGGACTATTAAAATACTGTATTCTTGTTAAATCCTTCAATCTCATTTTCAGATTGAACGGTTACTCTGTTGTAAATAAAAATATTGCTGTAAAGAATTACATTTTAATGAACATTTTCAAATTTCATTATTATAACATGGACCATAGTTAATAATTTTTAATTATTTTCGAAGAATATTGTTAGCCTATCAAAATGCGCCATTGTTATAACATTTTCATAGGCTATTTATATGTTGGGTTGTTACTGGACGATGTGCTCCTTGTGACATTTTATTTGTCAAAAATATACGCATTAAAGCATCACAAACATCACGATTACAAATTAAATACACCCTCTCCAACACCCACATAACCAGTCAAAGCTTTTTGACACACTGCCACACGAACAACCTGTGTATTAATAAAACTGGTAGGTAGACTAGAAATTTTTTCGTCATACTGACTGGTTGCTCCTTAAAAATACAAGAATTGTACATAAGCAGGTAAGTAAATAATTCAATGTCTTCCAAATAACGAAATTTCAATACAATTTAAAAAAAGACAGAGAAGCGCATTAGGGTCAGATTTGTTACCTATAGGGGAAAAACAGACGCATGCGCATATGCTCACTATGCGAATTATTGACATGAAGTTAAAAGTTGACACTTTTGTGGTGTGTAGTAGTTTGTTTTCTCGAAAAACGGTAAAATTACAATTATTTTAAAGTGATAGGATAGGCAACCCACATTCCATCCCTGCACAATCAACTACCGACATTTTCGAAATTTTCGGTTTAAAACTGTTTTTTTTTTAATTCTAAAAATTAAAAAATTGTCATATTTAATTTTATTAAGTTATTCTGGAAAAATGGTAGTGTTGCCAAAAATCCTGGGATATACATTATCGGAGAAATGGGGCCGAAATTAATTTGTGGAGGTCGAAATCTACAGATAAAATTGTTTTAGGTAATTTTCGAAGATGGTCGAAAACGCATCGAATTTTTTTATAAAATTGAGCTTTTAAAAAATGTTTCTACAAGTTTACAAAAAAGTAGAATATAGAGCTCGACATCAAAATGTAGCGAGTTTATTTTCCTCTAGCGAGATTTACGAAATCTTCGGTTTGAAACTGATTTTTTTGAAAAAATTCAAAAAATTTAAAAATTGCCACATTTAATTTTATTAAGTTATTCTGGAAAAGTGGTAGACTTGCCAAAAACTCCCCAAAAAATACATTTCGACGTGGTTATTCTAAAAATATAAGGTGTTTGTGGTTGCGATGCAAGATTTTAGAAATTTTCGGTTTGAAGTCAAAATTTTTTGGTAAATCCTAAAAATGGTCACATTTTAGTTGCGATTTTGCAAAAATGACATGAGTTATCGGAGAAATGGAACCACAATTAACTTTTGGAGGTCAATATCTACAAATAAAAATGTTTTAGGTAATTTTCGAAGATGGTGGAAAAAGCGTCGCATTTTTTTTATAAAATTGAGCTTTTGAAAAATGTTTCTACAAGTTTACAAAAAATTGTAGAATATACAGCTCGACGTCAAAATGTAACGAGTTTATTTTCCTCTAGCGAGATTTTCGAAATCTTCGGTTTGAAATTGATTTTTTTGAAAAAATTCAAAAAATTAAAAAATTGCCAAATTTAATTTTTATTAAGTTGTTCTGGAAAAATGGTAGATTTGGTAAAAACACCCCAAAAAATACATTTCGACGTGGTGATTCTAAAACTATAGGGTGTTTATGGTTGCGATGCAAGATTTTAGAATTAATCGGTTTGAGGTCAAAATTTTTTGGTAAATCCTAAAAATGGCCATATTTCAATTGCGATTTTGCAAACATGACATGAGTTATTTGAGAAAGGGAGCCGCAATTAACTTCTGGAGGTCAAAATCTGCAAATAAAAATGTTTTAGGTAATTTTAGAAGATGGTCGAAAAAGCGCCGAATTTTTTTTATAAAATTGAGCTTTTTAAAAATGTTTCTGCAAGTTTAAAAAAAATTGTAAAATTTACAAAAAATTGTAGAATATACAGCTCGACGTCAAAATGTAGCGAGTTTATTTTCCTCTAGCGAGATTTTCGAAATCTTCGGTTTGAAACTGATTTTTTTTTAAATGCAAAAATTGCCATATTTAATTTTATTAAGTTGTTCTGGAAAAATGGCAGACTTGCCAAAAACTCCCCAAAAAATACATTTCGACGCGGTGATTCTAAAAATATAAGGTGTTTGTGGTTCCGATGCAAGATTTTGGAAATATTTGGTTTGAAGTCAAAATTGTTTGGTAAATCCTAAAAATGGTCACATTTTAATTGCGATTTTGCAAAAATGACATGAGTTATCGGAGAAATTGAGCCCCTATAAACTTCTGGAGGTCAAAATATACAAATAAAAATATTTTAGGTAATTTTCGAAGATGGTTGAAAAAGCGTCAATTTTGTTTATAAAATTGAGCTTTTGAAAAATGTTTCTACAAGTTTACAAAAATTTGTAGAATATACAGCTCGACGTCAAAATGTAGCGAGTTTATTTTCCTCTGGCGAGATTTTCGAAATCTTCGGTTTGAAAATGATTTTTTTTAAAAAATTCAAAAAATTTAAAAAATGACACATTTAATTTTATTGAGTTATTCTGGGAAAATGGTAGACTTGCCAAAAACTCCCCAAAAAATAGATTTCGACGTGGTGATTTTAAAAATATGGGGTGTTTGTGGTTGCAATGCAAGATTTTAGAAATATTCAGTTTGAAGTACAAATTTTTTGGTAAATCTTAAAAATAGACACATTTCAATTGCGAATTTTGCAAAAATGACATGAGTTATCGGAGAAATGGAGCCGCAATTAACTTCCGGAGGTCAAAATCCACAAATAAAAATGTTTTAGATAATTTTCGAAGATGGTTGAAAAAGCGTCGAATTTTTTTTATAAAATTGAGCTTTTGAAAAATGTTTCTACAAGTTTACAAAAAATTGTAGAATATACAGCTCGACGTCAAAATGTAGCGAGTTTATTTTCCTCTAGCGAGATTTTCGAAATCTTCGGTTTGAAAATGATTTTTTGAAAAAATTCAAAAAATTTAAAAAATGACATTTAATTTTATTGAGTTATTCTGGAAAAATGGTAGACTTGCCAAAAACTCCCCAAAAAACACATTTCGACGTGGTGATTTTAAAAATATAAGGTGTTTGTGGTTGCGATGCAAGATTTTAGAAATATTCGATTTGAAGTCAAAATTTTTTGATAAATCCAAAAATAGCCACATTTCAATTGCGATTCTGCAAAAATGACGTGAGTTATTGGAGAAATGGAGTCGCAATTAATTTCTGGGGGTAAAAATCTACTAATAAAAATGTATTAGATAATTTTCGAAGATGGTTGAAAAAGCGTCGAATTTTTTTTATAAAATTGAGCTTTTGAAAAATGTTTCTACGAGTTTACAAAAAATTGTAGAATATACAGCTCGACGTCAAAATGTAGCGAGTTTATTTTCCTCTAGCGAGATTTTCGAAATCTTCGGTTCGAAACTGATTTTTTGAAAAAATTCAAAAAATTTAAAAATTGACAGATTTAATTTTATTAAGTAATTCTGGAAAAATGGTAGACTTGCCAAAAACTCCCCAAAAAATACATTTCGACGTGGTGATTCTAAAAATATAGGGTATTTGTGATTGCGATGCAAGATTTTGGAAATATTCGGTTTGAGGTCAAAATTTTTCGGTTAATCCTAAAAAAGGCCACATTTCAATTGAGATTTTACAAAAATGACATGAGTTATCGGAGAAATTGAGCCGCAATTAACTTCTGGGGGTCAAGATCTACTAATAAAAATGTTTTAGGTAATTTTCGAAGATGGTCGAAAAAGGGCCGAATTTTTTTTATAAAATTAAGCTTTTTAAAAATGTTTCTACAAATTTACAAAAAATTGTAGAATATACAGCTCGACGTCAAAATGTAGCGAGTTTATTTTCCTCTAGCGAGATTTTCGAAATCTTCGGTTTGACTCTGATTTTTTTGAAATTCAAAAAATTCAAAAATTGCCATATTTAATTTTATTAAGTTGTTCTGGAAAAATGGTCGACTTGCCAAAAACTCCCCAAAAAATACATTTCGACGCGGTCATTCTAAAAATATAAGGTGTTTGTGGTTCCGATGCAAGATTTTGGAAATATTTGGTTTGAAGTCAAAATTGTTTGGTAAATCCTAAAAGTGGTCGCATTTTAATTGCGATTTTGCAAAAATGACATGAGTTATCGGAGAAATTGAGCCCCAATAAACTTCTGGAGGTCAAAATATACAAATAAAAATATTTTAGGTAATTTTCGAAGATGGTTGAAAAAGCGTCAATTTTGTTTATAAAATTGAGCTTTTGAAAAATGTTTTTACAAGTTTACAAAAATTTGTAGAATATACAGCTCGACGTCAAAATGTAGCGAGTTTATTTTCCTCTAGCGAGATTTTCGAAATCTTCGGTTTGAAACTGATTTTTTTTTTAAATTCAAAAAATTTAAAAATTACCACATTTAATTTTATTAAGTTATTCTGGAAAAATGGTAGACTTGCCAAAAACTCCCCAAAAAATACATTTCGACGTGGTGATTTTAAAAATATGGGGTGTTTGTGGTTGCAGTGCAAGATTTTAGAAATATTCGTTTGAAGTACAAATTTTTTGGTAATTCTTAAAAATAGCCACATTTCAATTGCGATTTTGCAAAAATGACATGAGTTATCGGAGAAATGGAGCCGCAATTAACTTCCGGAGGTCAAAATCCACAAATAAAAATGTTTTAGGTAATTTTCGAAGATGGTGGAAAAAGCGTCAATTTTTTTTATAAAATTGAGCTTTTGAAAAATGTTTCTACAAGTTTACAAAAAATTGTAGAAT